TATCTATCTATCTATCTATCTATCTATCTATCTATCTATCTATCTATCTATCTATCTATCTATCTATCTATCTATCCACCCATACCTACCTACCTACCTAAACGTTTTAGGGAGAGAGCATCCCTAATCTTCCTTTCCCCACAACAATCCTGCAACGTAGGTTTGGTTGAGAGACAGACTGGCTAATCCATTCATAGCTCTTTTTGAAACAACACGTCTCTCCCCCTCCCCATTTTGTTTGAAAGGCACCTAGCAAGAGACGGCTGATCATTCTAATCCATTGCTTTAGGGAGCAGGAGGGCCTCGTGCCAAGATGCTGGCTTTGCGGGGTGTGCTGGTCCGCCCGAGGCCTCTGTGTCGGTCCGTGCGCTCGGGATTCCAGGCCTGGCTTTCAACCTGCAGTCCGGATCCTGGGACCCCCATCAAAAAACAAAGAGGCGGAGGAAGCCTCGAAGATTTCCGCTCCAAACTACTTGGGGGTCCCCCTTTGCAGCATTTCCTACAATCGGCTGCTCCTGGGCAGGATCGCTTGCCAGCTGACGTCTTGGAAGACCCCGCCCCTTACTTTGGACCCACCAGCCTGGCAGGTTGCCCGAAGAAAGGTGAGTAGGGCTGCTCCATCACACCTTTCCTGAAATGCTGCATACAATCAAGCGCTGACTTGATTTTGAATAGGGACATTTTTGGGGGTCGGCTCTCTGTGTCCTGCTGGGCAATCACAGTGAGTTTGCTCACTTACGTCGGCAAAACAGTTCCCTCCCGATGAAACAGCAGCCTGGGCCCCGAGCAGAGTTGAACCTGTTTTTGAATTTGGATGGATGGGGGACCACCAGGAAATCCTGAGGTTGTAGGTTAGGTCACGGAGTCCCAGAATGACAGGGTCAAATTTGTCCTTGTTGTTGCTAAGAAAACTGTCCTTATGGTTATCAAGAGTCAAGTTGGATGGGAAGAAAATAGAAGAGAAGAGAATAGGGAAGAGAAGAGAATGAGAGAGGGAGAGAGAGAGAGAGAGAGAGAGAGAGAGAAAGAAGAAAAAAAGAAAGAAAGAAAGAAAGAAAGAAAGAAAGAAAGAAAGAAAGAATGAATCAGACCTTGGAGGTCTTGTAGTCCAGCCTCCTACTTGTTCTGACCCAAACCTGGTTCCAAGAGAGCAAACACGAGACAAACCTACGTTGCACCACCTTTTAATGTTTCATTTACGAATCCTGTTTCTTCACAGATAAAAGGCTGCTTCCAACTAATTTCACAAAATAAGACCGGGCCTTATTTTTTTTTTTGACCACCGAAAAAACGGCTAGGCCGTCTTTTCGGGGGTGACTTAATTCCCCCCCCCCTTGCAACCTCGGGTGGGCGGGCAGCGACAGCTTGGATGTTGACTTCGGTGTTGGTGGGGCACTTCGTATCGGGAGACCTTCCGCCACCATTGCTTTCCCTTCTCCCTTGCTGCCGCGGTGTTTAGAGCAACGCCGCGGCGTTTGGTGCAGCCATGTGCGGCTCCTCCCTGCAACCGGAGCCCGGCGGAGACACTCGGCTTCAGGCGCTCCTGTCGCCGCCTTCCCTTCGCCTTCGAAGGCAAAGCCAATTCTTTTAAAAACAACGCCTGACTACCGGTATGACAAAGCCTCCCCTGCCCGAGAGGGCAGCCCAACCCCATGTGGGGAGGCGAATCTCCCGGGGCCGCAGTGCAGGATCGGCCCACCCCGGGAGAAGCGCCCAGCCGCCATCCCTGCCTGGCGCCGGGCAGAGCGCCAAGAGCTTCGCCTGGGGCGCCCAGCGCAGCTGACAGGCAGGCCCTCCTGCCCGGCAGCAGAGCTCTCGCCAAGGCAGCGAGCGCCTCCCCACCGGACCCTCTGCTCATCCCGCCAGGGCCACGCCAGAGCCGTATGGGCTGGGCAGAGCCAGGAAAGCGAGCCGTGGGTGCGCGCCCGCCTGCCAAGCAAAAGAGCCGGGCCGACCTGAGCTTGGCTTCCTTCCCAAGTCCCTCCAGCGCGAATCCAAAGGGGCCACCGGGAGAGGCTGCCCGAGGCAGTGATAGCGCCCACCCGTCCACGGACAGGGAGGCGAGGTGATGGTAGCACTGCTTCCCTGGCCGGCGGAGAGAGCCCGAAGCCGCCCGTCCTTTCCACCCCTCGCCCAGCCTGTCCCCGTGCACCTCCAAATGCGCCGGCAGCTCCAGACGCTGCAGTGGAACGGGCATCAGGCAGAGGCGCTGACTCGGCGGGG